GTTTTAGGAGAATGAATTAAGAATGTGAGTGGATGAATAATTTATTGTGGTAAAAGTAATGTGGGGACCATGAAAGTGAAAGTATGTAAGAGAGTAGTGGGACCATGAGATAGAAAAATGATAAATTAATTTGGGTGGGGTTTAAAGTAAGAGAGAGAAATAATAAAATATAGTGTAAAGTTACTATATATAGAAGTGATGCAAATAAAAAAACACCCATAAAAGGAAAGTGATGCAAATAAAAAAACGGAAGGAGTAGTTTAGAATCTAAAAATAAACACCAGAATGAAATGTGTCACTTCCTGGTACTGTTATTTCCCTCTTAAACCACTTTTTTCATCAAATCTTCTTCAAATATATTTACCATATTATTATAATATAACCTTCCTATTTGACAACCATATTTTTAGGGGTTTTTCTAAATGCCACAATAGAATTACTTATGCTGCGGTATTAAATGACCCATCTGCCCTTAGTTGTTTTTTTTTGGCAAATTTGTTATTTGTTTAAGCCCATAAATTTACTAAATGTTTTTTAATTCATAAATTTTACTAATTAAATTAAGTGTATTTTGTTTTTTAATAATTATTAAAAATTAATTAATATAAATTAAAAGGTTTGCTTAAAAAAAATAATTAAATAGTACCCGGTCGCATGCTACATGCGACTATACCGCGGTGTAGTCGCATATAGCATGCAACTATACCGTGGTATAGTTGCATGTAATACGCGACTACACCGCGGTATAGTCGCATGTCGACAACACCGTGGTATAGTCGCATGTTGACTACACCGCGGTATAGTCGCATGTAACTTGCGACTATACCGCAGTGTAGTCGCATATAGCATGCGACCGTGTACAACGGAAATTAAAAAAAAAATCAAACATATACCTAACTCTTCGGCGTCGAAGGTTTGTAGTCCCCACCAAGTGCCTCCGATATGAACGCAGACAGTCGTCATCTAATTTTATTGTACGGGAAGTACAATGTTAGTAGTCAACCGTTGTGGGATCGGTCAAGTTTATTGTTAAGGTTGAGTCGTGGTGGTGGACAGTCAAGGTGGGTGGTGGTATGAATGTGGAGCTAAGGCTTGAGTATGGTCAAGGTAGGACGACAAAGTTAGTAGTTAGTAATGGTTGGATTGTTATGTTATTTTCAAAATAATAAGGGGCATAAAAGTCTTTTAATACTATAGGTTGAGTAATTTTATTATGGCAAATAGCAATTCATAGATCTTATCTATTTATTTTTTAAACAAAGTTTAATGTTTCAGTAACCTTGACACTGATATAAGTATACAAAATAATGGTGTACTGTAGGTACCGTATTATATACGAAGTATTGAATTAGTATTGCAATTTTTTACGACTACAATATAAAATTAGTATTGGACAAGACTTCATCTAGTTAATGATTAGCTGTGTTGCTTTGTAAAAGGTATGGTGAGGAAACATCGGGACAAAGCTAAGTAGAAGCATTCACTGTAAATTTTGTCAGCCTCGCGCCCCTCGCGCCTTACTTTTAATGGTTGCGTGTAATTTGCATTACTATGAATATCAGATTATCAGTACGTAATTCGCCATTGACTTGAAAGGTAGTGGACTTTGTTGAAGGCGTGTAATCGGAGTATCAATGGAGTAATAGTTTTACCAAAAGTAGTTTTCACAAAAATAAATAAATAAAATAATAATAATAATAGATAGAATTTACCAAAAGTCGTGGATGTGAGGAATGAATAGAGATTATGTGGGGAAAGAAATATAAAAAAAATAAAAAATAAAAGAAGAAACAATTACTCCCTCCGTTTTTAAATACTTGCTCCACTTTTCTTTTCCGGCCGTTTTTAAATACTTACTCCATTTCCTTTTTTTGGAAAGCTTTTACAATATTTAATTCATTTCTCACACTTGGTGGCCTAGACCCAACATAATACTCTTTCTTCTCCTATTCTTCTACTAATTTTGCTTTTTACAATTTTTTTATTTTCCCAACTACCCCACCACCTCTATATTTTATTACTTTCTCCAATTTCTCCTAAAACTCCGCGCATGGAGAAATGGAGCAAGTATTTAAAAACGGAGGGAGTATAAAATAGTAATACTACGTATTTAGAAATGTGATGTACATAACAAATAAACAGATGGAGTATTCATACATACATTAGTAAAGAATTATTATTGTAATTTATGGAGGGCTGCAAACGATTCGAGTCGAGCTGAGTTTGATAAGAACTATTCATGTTCGAATTATCTCGAGGTTGAACGAGTTTTTAAAAATCTTGTTGAAGCTTGGGTCGTTAATAATTTGGCTTGTTCGAGCTTTATTCACGAACATACTCGTTTGCATTTGAGTATAAATTGGTTTAAATCGGGCTGGATTTATTACACTAGCCCTAATTTATCATGAAAAATGATTTCTTTCAAGTTCTAAGGCATCCATTTTATAGGAAAAGGGAATTACAGAGTTTTATGCCTATATATGATGAAATTATTAATATTTCTAATAAATATGTATGAGTAAAAGATATATAAATTCATCGAGTTTTATTTGGGTGTGAATGAAAAAACTTATAAATTAAATGAGCTTAAACGAGTTGTTCATGAACATTATTGAGTCGAACATGATATTGTTTGAGCTTTGTTCATCTATTTGACGAGCTTAAGACTTTTATTCAAGCTTGTTTGTTAATTTAACATACGAGTTTTGATCGAGCTTTTATTGACCTTATTCGCGAGTAGTTCACGAACGTATCGAATCATTTACACCCCTAGATGTAAAAATCCATATTAATGACAAGATGAGGAAGAATCATGATTATAAGATGAAAGGGAAGCATTAGGGAAGTTAGTGGGATACTGGGATGGGTCAAATAGTAGACCTACCTTGACGGATTTGGGTCTATGTATGGTGGGTGATGGGAGCGGGATTATGGAGATGAAAATCATACCCTCCATAGGTAGGTAGGGTGGTTCTTAAGTTGTACATGCCCCAAAATACGGTCGTGGTGTATATGGCCTGTTCTGATTTACTGAATAGAGCTGAACTGAACTGAATGAAAATGAATTGTTCATGAGAGAAGAAAATTAATAACTGAATTGATTGGAGGTAGAGTGAATTTAAATTAAGCTGATAAACTACTAAAATTCGACTAAATTGCGACCGCCTCAAACGGTCGCAAAAAATAGCAAAACGGTCGCAAAACATCATTGCGACCGTCAACGGTCGTAACATGGCGGTCGCTATTCTTTTGGTCGCAAAAAAACAAAATTACGACCGTTTGACGGTCGCAGATTTTTTGCGACCGTTTTTTACTATTTTCAACGACCGTTAAGAAAACGGTCGCAAATATAATAATTGCAACCGCTTTATAAAAAGGACGCAAATCTTGAAATTAGCGACCGTCATAAGCGTTCGCTAAAAGTTTTTTTTAAAAAAAAAAAAAACAGACCCATTACCCACCCACCCTTGACCCAGATCCACCGAAACTAGATCCCACCCAAACCACCACCACTGCCCACCTTAAACAACCACTAGCCGCCGCCTTCTACCCACCATCACCTTCGCCCACCTTCAACCACCAATATCCACCACCACCCACCTACCCTTAACCCAGAAAAACATAAATTTATCAAAAAAATTAACCCAGAAATTTAACCAACAAAAACATTCGATTTAACAAAAAAAAAACAACCCATATAATTTCGAACAAATTTACAAAAATCAAACAAAAAACCGAAAAAAAAGCAACATAAATTAATCAAAACAATTTAACCCACAAATAAAATGCACAAAAATTATATAAAAAATCAACAAAAAAAAGTAAGAACACAAATCAAACCCACAAACACTAAGAAAATTTTGAACAAAAATTCAACTAAAAAAAACCCACAAAAATTCGAACAACAATCACACAATTTCGACAAAAATCAAACCACTATTCGAACAAAATCAACAAAAATTTGAACCAAAACTCAAACAAAAACACACAAAAATCGAACCAAAACTCAAACAAAAACACAAAAAAAAAATGGAAAAAAATTGAACAATCATGAAAATTAGAGAACAAAATAAAACAACAAAAATTGAAAATAAACAAAAATATAATAAAAAATCAGAGAAGAAACACATACCTTTCACAAAACTTCTTCCTCTTTAGGTTTATATGGTCAAATTCGACCATAAAAACTCCAGATCTGGAATTTTTATGGTCGAATTTGACCATTAATACCAAACTTTGACGAAAATACAACACCACAATTCCTAAAAAAAATAAAATGAAGAAGAAACAAAGAAACAAAGATGGAGCGAAAATCCTAAGGAAAGAGAACGAGAAGGAGAAGAGGAAAGAATACGGGAGGGAGAATAGGAGGAAATTTAGAGAAAGAGAATTTAGAAAATAGGAGACGAGAGTGAAAGAGGAGAATGAATTAAAGAGAGGAGCAACGTGAGAAGGAAGAGGGAAGGAAAGAGAGGAGATAAGGAAAATGAAGGAAGAGTAGCGGCTGTGTAAAAAAATTAGGGTTAGTGTAAGTTGGAATCCGTTTTATACCCTATTTTAAAAATTAAAAAAAATATTGCGACTGCTAAAACGGTCGCAAAATCAGAAATCTGCGACCGTTTTAGAGGCGGTCGCAGATTATGACATTTACGACTATCTCTTTGACGGTTGCAGATTATGACATTTACGACCGTCTCTTTGACGGTCGCAGATTATGACATTTACGACCGTCAAAGACGGTCGCAGATTATGATATTTACGACCGTCTCTTTGACGGTCGCAGATTATGACATTTACGACCGTCTTTGACGGTCGCAAATGATTTAATTTAATTTAGAATTATTTTTAATTGTTCAAAAATCCTAGTGACCATCTAAAAGGCTAAAAACGGTCGCAAATTTGCGACCGTTTTCAAAGCAGTCGTAATATTGCGACCGCATAAAAAACGGTCGCAAATTTCATAATTTGCGACCGTTTTTCAGACGATCGTAGAAAAACGGTCGCAATTTAGCCGGATTTTAGTAGTGTGAAGAGAACAGACCTTAGGATTAAAATTTTATTTCCTATTAAAATAACAAAAAGTAAAGCCAAAATACATGAAAAAAGAATACAAGGAAAAAAAATACAGAAAAAAAATGGAATTAAAAAAATAAGTGCAACAAGATTTGAACCGTGACCATGCACACATACATATTACATAATGTATTATACTTCGTATAAAATCAAGGGGTGGGCCGTGCTAAGATTCTTGCCGAAAATGGAAACATTTTTGACAAATTACAATGCTTCCAAAATCTATTAGCCCTCGCTAAGATCGTGCGTGTAATGAATAGTCCAAATGGTTTCCTTTTACGAAGTATTTTGTACTGAGATATAAAGTTTACTTTGTATATATATAGCTAATTCTACGGAGTAGTAAATTAGTAATCTCATACTCTTATCACATGTATTCATTCTAGCTCCTTTCATCAAATTTTTTGAAGTCTAGATCAACAAAAACATCACAGAACAACGTAACTATCCTTCCATGGCTTTCATCATTTTCTTAACCCTTGCTATAACAATTTTCTTCATACTTATTTTTCGTATCATAACATCCTCTCCAGGCTCAAAGCTTCCTCCGGGTAAAACCGGGTGGCCAATACTCGGAGAAAACTTGAGTTTCATGGTAAATCCGGCTAAATTTATAAGTGATCGAATGAAGAAGTACTCTGCTAACATCTTCCAAACGTCGTTGGCCGGTGCAAAAATGTCCATTTTTTGTGGTGCCTCGGGTAACAAGTTCATTTATTCAAACGAGTCAAAATTCAAGACGTGGTTACCACCTACGCTTGTAGATGTTCTTTCATTAACGAACATTGACTCTACTTCCTCACCATGGAAGCTATTCGACGAGCAACTACACAAGTTTCTTAGGCTCGAGTCGATGCAACATTACGTGCCAATTATGGATACTAAGGTACGCGAGCATTTAGAGAAGCATTGGGCACCTTTTAACCAAGTAAAAGTCTTACCATTATCAAAAGAGTTCACTATTTCCTTGTTTTGCAATTTAATTTTGAAAATCTATGATAGTGATCAAATTAAAGAATTGGCTAAGCCCTACCATACCTTGGTCAAGGGGATCATATCAGTGCCTTTAAATCTCCCCGGAACCCCATACAACCATGCTGTAAAAGCATCAAAACTTATAAGAGATAAGCTAGTAGAATTAGTTAGGCAAAGAAAAATGGAGGTCTTAGAAAAGAAAGATCATGTGAATGTTGATGATGTTGATTTTTTGGGTGGGTTGCTTAGGGCATCGATTGAAGGCGGTGACTTTATAAGCGAGATGGAGTTAGTTGGCAAGATTGTAGCACTCTTGTTTGCTGCTTTCCATACAACAAGCAACACCATTACATTCTTAATGGCTCATCTTGCTGAATATCCTGACGTGTACGAAAAAGTTTTACAAGGTACGTATTCTGCGTTGTTAAATGCGAGAAACTTGTGCTTATAGAATGTTATCTACGAACATGGTCTACAACCATATATCACTATAAAACTGCTAGAATATTGAGCATGCAATAATTGTCCATAATGTTTCTCATGCTGAAAAACAAAATTTGTTTCTTATGGAGGCATTTTCGTGAATAAATCAACAATTTTTTCATTATTATAGGCTCCATAGTTGAATAAAGTTAAATAAAATTGTTGATTTATTTACGAAAATGTCATGTGAGAAACAAAATTTGTTTCTCACCATGAGAAAATGGGGGCACCCTCTTTACATTTGTCCATAATTTTTTATGAGGTCAATTATCGATTTAAACCATTTGATTTGATATACGCATATAGTTAGTTGCTTATTATTATTATTATTATTATTATTATTATTATTATTATTATTATTATTATTATTATTATTATTATTTACGGTAAGGAGAAGGATCCTGACCAAAATCTCAACCCTCACGGTTTTTTTGGTCAGGTATTTGCGGGTCAGAATTTTTAAGATCCAGTGAGGGGGTAAAGGTAAGAGATCCCCCACTCTCAAAGTGTCACTAGTAAGGTTGGAAGTTACAATCCTTACCACTAGACCAAGCTTAGCTTGGTATATAGCTAGTCACTTATTGAAATGCAGAATATTAATTATCAAATTTGATGCACTCCGTAAACTAGAATAACTGAATTACTTTAAAACTCTACATAGAATATTTATTATTTCCAAATTTAGTTGTTCTCACACACATTTGATATGTGTTAGAACAATTGGAGATTGCACAATCAAAAGAAAAAGGGGAGCTACTAAATTGGAAGGATATTCAGAAAATGAAGTACTCGTGGAATGTAGTTTGTGAATCGATGAGACTTAAGCCACCCGGCCTCGGAGGCTTTAGAGAGGCTTCCACAGACATCCATTACGGTGGCTACACAGTTCCAAAGGGGTGGAAGGTATGAAATCAAACATATTCTTTATATATCGCGCTTCTACACAACCAGTTACCATTTCCTAATAAGAAATTATACTATATATGTAGAACTCTAAACATATCTAATCTATTAAGAGCATAGAGCAACTCTAATGACAAGTTAATTGTCAAATTAGTTTAACATGCTACATAAGCTTTTAAGTTAATTGTCATTTTAGCTAATTCGAGTTCCAATGGCTAGCTATTAGCTTATTATTTAAAATGAACCCCACCTCCTTAATTTATGTTTTTATATTTCAAAATATTTATTCTAATTTGTTTTATTTTGACAAGTTCTTTTACAAGCAAATTAGCTTGGCGGACCAAGCTAATTACATTTTCTTACACCAATGATCAAGCTAGTATCTAAGGATTATTTAATATTGCAAGCAAGTTCCTAGCTACAACTATTGAAGTTGCTCTATAATTTTAATAGATTAGATATATTTGGAAAAAAATCTCATGGATTTCACTTATGAGGTTATTCTGCTCTATAATTATGAGATTATTCTGTTCATTTCTGAGATGTGGAGAATGTAAAATTATCAAACGGTGAACATTTCAAACAAGTGGGTCTTATAATTATGCATAAAAGAGAATACCACGCACAAGTGATCTGATGAGCCCTTTGGCTAAGGAAAACTTAACAAAAAATTTCTTAATTTTATGACATACTTTCTCTATTTGAAATTAGACTTTTGACATCACACTATTTATAAACTTTGTTTTATCTACAATAGTATAATTAAAGATATTTTTAATTTGATTGAATTTTTGCATTGATAAACATAATAAAAGAAACATGTCATCTAATTTAAAATATAATGGAGAAAGTGTATCGTTGATTTATACTTTTTCTTATGAGTTGGCTTGTAGGAAAAGAGAAGATTAACTAATTATGACAATGTTAGTACATAAAATTATAATTAGTCATTCTTACTATTTTATTTTGTTTGAAATCTAGGTTCATTGGTCAGTTTATTCAACACACATGGATCCAGTACATTTTCCAGAGCCAGAGAGATTCGACCCATCACGATTTGAAGAGAAACAAGGTCGTGGTGTATATGTACCTTTTGGATCAGGACCTCATATGTGTTGTGGAAGAGAGTATGCTCGAATTAAGGTTCTCGTTTTCCTGCATAACGTAGTAACTCGATTTAGACTTTCAAAAGCAAACCCAAATGAAAGGGTAATCTATACTCCAGATCCAGTCTTCGTCGATGGCCTACGTATCAACCTTCGTTCTCAAAAGGAATAAGAAAAGGATGATAAGTAGTTAAAAATGTATTTCGTTTGATTGCTGTAATAGTTATCTCAATTACTCTTTCCTATGATTCTATATAAGAAAAATTGGTATTATTAATCTCACGTTTGGGTTAATGTGTCAATGTTATAAAAGTTACTCTGTGTTTTTATAAGCGACCACATATATGTTATGCCGGTCACACAAAAAATACACTGTTATTCCAAAAAGCAAAACTTTAATGGTTCATTGTATGAACTGAGTTTGTTTTATTTTATTTTTTGGTTTGTTAGGGCATATTATTTTCTAATACTTTTTTTGTTTTTTTTAAGTGTCACACTTTTCAAAAGCGGTTTTTTTTTACCTTAATCAAATTTCCTCTTTTACTTTTACAAAATTTTTAATTTATAGCTATACCTCACTTATACTACCTCCGGTCCAAATTACTCGCAAGTTTGAGATATTATATGCGAGATATATAATATTCCAAAGCTGTTAATTTTTTTTGGACCGGAGGTAGTATATTTCTTCATTTGCATAAGAAAAACCTTATATATTACGTACTTTATGATTTTTTTTTTTTTTTTCTGAAACTCGTCTCACTTGCATAATGAGACACTTAAAAAAAGGGAGTATGTATTAATTATAGTATCTCATATAGTGTCATTCATGGCTTATTGTCAGTGGTGGAGGGAGCATATATATGTCTGTCTTGGTAGGGGTGAGCATGGGACGGGTACCCGTACCGTTAGTACTAACGGTTCGGGTACCCGATAACCAATATCACTAAAAGTGATATCCATAACCGGAACCGATAATTTCGGGTACCCGAATTTTTGGAAAGGTTATCGGGTACCCTATAAAGTATCCAATAGTGATAATTAAACTTAAAAAATTAGTTATTATGATATTTTTTTAACACTAATTAACAACAATACTACATGATCTTGACCAAATTATTAATAACATTATTAATTATTGATATTTATAGTGATGATGAAGTAATGTAAGAGTTTAAATATTGAAAAGATAGATTTAAGTAGGAAAAAAAACAAAACAATTGCTAATCGGAATGGAACGAGTACCCGTTAATTTTAAAATGATACCTAAAAACAATACCCGATAACAAATTATCGGAACGGGTACCCGAACCGTTATGGTTATCGGATCGGGTACCCTAATTTTCGGAACGGTAACAGAACGAGTTTTCGGTTTTTCGGATAGTTTTGCTCAGCCGGCATGTGCCCTACCAGATTTTTTTAAAAATTTTTTAATTTTTTTTCCCTTTTACAAAAATTGTCAAAATTTAATAAAAGTTGCATATGGTTTGGACTATTGTTTACTAAGCTCGGTTTATGCATAAAAGCTGAATCTATGACTTTTACTATCTCCAAATATTTTTTTTAATAAAAATACCCACAAAATATTGATTCACGTGTCATATCTCATAGGAATATACTACCTTTATTTTATATTATTTGTCACGATTTGACATAAATTAGAGAAGAAAAATGTTTAATCATTACAAATAATATGAAACGGAGGTAATGATTTAAAACCCAAAAGGCCCAAAAATAAAACAAATACTCTATATTCTCTTTTATCCAATTCCGTGAGCAAACCCACATCCCCGGCTCCATCAGTCTACCGCCATTGTCAGCCAAATCTAAATTTTTATAATTTAATATTTTATTTTTAACAAGTTTGTCTCCTATTAAATTATTTTCTATGAATGGTAGATCTTAATTTGTAATTTTGTAGAATTAAAAGTATATTTAGCATTCTACAATTCTATTAGGCTTGGTTGTCGATTACTGGATTAGTATGTGATTGATGGTGCCCTACCAACATTATAATCTTGATTCCGCCACCGCCCTTTGTCCACTTTTTCCCCTCCATGTATGGCAAATCAAACCTATCTATCATATTTTGCACCCTTTCCATTTATGGCAAACCAATTGCTGCTAATAAATGATGATAAATTGATAATGAATCATCACCTAATAGAATTATTAACAATTAATAATAGGTTTTTTTTGTCATAAACTACCTAATACAACCTAAAATTTGTGAGAAACTACCTAATAAAAAAAACGTTGTAAGAAACTATCAAAAGGTAAAATATTTTAAGGTACTACCTTTGGCCGAATTTCCACCGTTAATCTAATTTTAAGGCATTGAATTGACCTACCTCAAAACACCCCCGAAACCACCACAGAGGTTGTTTTTCAAGTTGGTAAGGTTATTTTTGGGGTGGTAAGAAGATATTCCGAGTTGGTGAGGGTAGTTTAATTTCGTGATTTGGGATATAAATTTTTGAGGTTAGAGGTGGTGGTTTTGGGATTGGAGGGTGGTTTCGGCTTGGTGAAGGCAATTTCAAGTAGGTTGTGTTGGTTTTAGGGTGAACGCGGTGGTTTTGGAGGTGTTTTGAGGTGGGTCAATGGTGGGTTTCTAGTGGAGGTAGTATTTTACAACAATTAACATTTTGTTAGGTAGTTAATTATAACATATTACCTTTTATTGGGTATTTTTTTTACAATAATTTTTTATTAGGTAGTTTCTCACAAAACCTAAGCTTTATTAGATAGTTTTTGACAAAAATTCCTTAATAGTATCGACAATAGCTACTAAAAAACAAATCAGCTAACAAACCAAACCAAATAATGAATCAGCGAATTTTCCCCTCCATATATGGGAGTGTATGGCAAACCAAACCTCTCCTATAAATTAAGGCTAACAATTGAATCAGCTAACTATAGCTGACAATTTTCAAACAACACCATATCTAAGTGAAGATATAGAGACAAAAAGTGGATGAGGGATGGAAACTTGGTAGAGTGACTTGAGACACACCTTTGAATAAAAAGTGAAATTACAAATGAATAATGTCAAAATCATGAAATAAATTAACTCCTCTAAAAAGACATTTAAAAATTAACATTTTGTGAGCAGTGAAGAGTAAAAAAAAAAAAAAAAAAAAAGGTGCAAAGTGATCTTAGGGTCTTTTTGGAGGAAATACAAGTTGATTCCCTTGATGAACATTTTTTGTTCATCAAGTGGCATTCTTGTAATAAAATAGTATTCGAAAAAGAAATTTAACAATAAACAATTACTACCAGCTAAGGTGTCAAATTGCTTCTGAAAAAACATGACAAAGTAACTCCACGGAGCAATAAACGGTTTTCAGAAGGACATTAATAGTTAACTTAACTTCTTCAGCCAGAGTTGGGTGCTTTTGTCTTGTTTTCAATCCTTCCTTCATGGCTTCAACTCCTGAGTACTTTTCTTTTTCTTTTTCATTTTTTGGCTGCTCTGAATCTGGAACTTTGGCTCTGATCTTCACCATTCGCCATGATCAACCCCAAAAACAATACTACACTTTCTTCTCTCTCCTCTACAAACCTAGTCGTCTTCTTCCTTTAGATCGACCCCACCGTTACTACCAGATCTACCCACCGTTCCTACCATATTCAACCCACCTCACAATTCGTAACCACTAGCGGCGACCATGATAACGACGATTAACCATCACCCTCGCTCTTTGTCATACCTTCCCCTAAAGGGTTATTATGACCCCACATTACATATTTTGCTACTAGGGTGTCTTAATATTCGGCCGGCCGGCCAGCCGATATCGCCGCAAAGCGGCGAAGGTGGTTGTTGTGGCCATGGGAGGTAACTCTAGTTATCCATGATTATTAACTCACCTTTGACTAACGTCGTTTGTATGAAGTTAAAAGCAAAGATTCCTAGTTGAAGTTAAATTACACACACCGGCCCCTATTTCGCTAGACAATTTGATAAAATTGAACCTTGATAAACGTCCCAGGTTTATTTGCGAGATCAACCTAGTTGTGCTCGTCTTTTTGAAATTGTGAAGTAAGGTGTTTCTCTCAAACTTACTAACGAGTTTTGCAAAATTTTGTATATAACATGGTATCAGAGCTTCGTGAGAAAATGAGGTCATGGGTTCAAATACAACTAACAACAACAACTTGTTCCAATATGCTCTACTTGATGACAACTTATTTTGCTCTTCCCAAAAGCTTAAAAGAACATGATCTAATTAAAACTCTATCCCGATTGAGATATTTATACATATTTTCCTACCTTATAAAAAGTATAAGATTACTCTTATAAATAGTGTGTGCTACCAATAATACCCTATAAAATATGTATTTACATATATACTCTTATTAATAAGTACAAGTTTGTTTTAATCGATAGTGTTTGGACAATTATACCCTCTAAAATGTTTATTAACTTATTTGACCTCATTGATGATAATTATACACTCATTAACTATATTCTGTAAAAAATGTTTTCTAAAATAATTTGAGGATAACTGGATATTTATACTCCTAGACACATTTGCTTACATATTTTCAAGAAAGATTACTACTAATAACTAAATTTGTGATGTAATGGTAAACCGGAAGAGTTTCGGATATGGCTACCTATGGTGTACGCATCGCGCATGTTGGCTGCCCTACTAATTTAAAGAACAAAAAAAAAAATAAAAAAGAGAAAATGTAATATATAATTTCAGAATTAATAACATTTTATAATTAAACACAATAAAAAAAATTTATATAATTTAATGAATTTGTTGAATAAATATAAATTAATAATTAAAAATTTCATATTTGAATTGTTACAATATATTTAAGGAAAAAATTGACATGAATATTATGATCTTTCCCGGGTCTGCTATAAAAAAACAACCTTTTGATGATCTCCTAATAAAACGACCTTTACACATGATTTTCCATAAATGGGTCGAAATCGATTGGTAACCTGTTTAATGGCTAAGTATGACACGTGTCACTTTGTAATTTGTTATTTTCTTATTTTATTTTTTTTTTAAAAAAATTGGTTTTAATTTACAAAAAAGAAAAAAAAAATCACCCATTCATGTGAACCCCATTCTCGTGGATCCCCACACTGTCACCGCCGGATTTTGGAGGGGTCTGGGATGGGAAGGAAAGAGAGGTGGCCAGATTTTGGTGGGGAAAGAGGTAGGATGGGAAGAGATGGCCGGAAAGGAGGGGATTTTGGAAGGAGAAGTAGTAGTTTTGGCCTGCGATTTACTCTGTTTTTGGGGACTAAATCACTATGAGCTGATCCGTTGGTGCTGTTTGGTAGTGGCTGGAGTTTTTGCCGATACTGATCGTG